TTCTTTTCCATATTCTGTTGTAGTAATCGTATTTATTTAATAAGGAATCATTATTAATGAACTTGAGTCTTTCATTGTACATGGTGATCGTGTTAAATTTTGTTCAATATTTTCAGGAAATTCTTAGTAATTTTTCAAATATATTTCCAGTAATAGAGCTTTGATATATACCAGCTACACCCTCTTTGTTACACCTCTTTGTTATTACTGGTATTATACGTATTGTTGTACTGCCTACAATCCTTGTAAAGATTAACCTAATACCATATAATAATAATAATAATAATAATAATAATAGTAATCCTTATTGAACTTGTATCCTTGAACATTGAGATTTTGATAATAAGGAAAAAAAATATATATATACACTACATATCACATGTATTTAGAAAAAAAAGGAAAATCATGTAAGAACAAAATATTGAATGAGAATTAGCTAATTTTTTATTATGAGGCAACTGGTTGTCTCAATTTGATATTGTTTTTCCATTGTTTGAAGCAGTTATCAATGAATTTACAGATTTCCCTGATTAGCATATTATTTTCCTTTGGTAATAAGTTTATCACAGTCTGTCTGATTACTTTACTTAGTTAATAATAAAATCTGCCTTTCATTTTCATATTTTTTGCATCTGATAAGAAAATGCTCCTCGCCTTCTAATTTATATTTATATATTTATTTATTTACATATACCTGACATGTTTAATTAATATCAATGTTTCAGTGTTTCCCTACTTCTGTCTGAAGCATATATGTACACTTCTTATCCACAGTTGTGCTATACTGTTTTAATTCTACAGATTTCTCACTGGATTAATAACACATAGTAGTAGCCCATAATGCATTAGTACTGTCCTGCTACTAACAGGCTTCCATTTCGGAGAATTTACTGAAACATTACAATAAGATATTTGAGCTACTTGAAATCGTGACTTTTTTGCCACTTTCAATTTCCCCAGAAATAAACTTTATAACTGTTGAACCATATTGTAAATTAAAAACAATAATTTATTATTCCCAGTTATTGGCATTTGTAACTAATTATCAAACAATAACTCACCCATATATTACATTCTGTCATTTAATCAACAAACTACCGTAGTTACTTTCTCTAAAAGTCAGGCATTGTGTATGTGTGTCATTTTGTGTAAAGATTAATTTTTATCCATATGGACTGAATGAATCATAAAAGCCCTCGAGTAGTTAGTGTATTTGTACTAAAAATAGACTATGAATAATCCATCTGTGATCATCAAATGTTCATGTTATTCCTTGTTTCCCGCTAGATATGCCTATATGCTGTGTGAAACTGTCTCTTAACTCTTAGAAAATTCATTCTGCCATATTAAATAACTTTACACTTGTTTTTGTGTTTCATCAAGACACATGCTATTTATCCTACCTACTTCAACTGTAATCCCTCTCCAGTGTTTTTTGTAATACCAAATTCATTATTTTTTATTATTGATCAGTCTGACCAGAATGAAATATCTTCAGCTTTTTCTGCACTTATTTATCTGAATTGGTGCCAACCTTGGCACTTGTTTTGATTTTATTTGAAGTGCATGGACTTTACTATGTCTTTATATCTAAACAATCAAGGTTGAATAAGTAGAATGCAGAGATGAGGTAAATTTGGATCACAAAATCAGATAACGAGTGTCATAAGGAGTGTCCTAATTTTCTCTTAAAACAATACATTAAGAGTTGACCATTTTAAGTTGAGGCAGTTGTAATCTTTTCCATTCATAATTCTGAACATTCTGTTCACACTTTCGTTTTAGTCCCTGTTGGACCAGGAATGGGGTTGGAGAGATAACTTGCGTGCACAATGACAGGGAGGTGCTACCTGAACCTCACAAACTTGAAATGTGTGACTATATGTCCTACTTTTGCACTGATATCTGAGTGTCTAACTACTTCTTGGTCAAAAACAGCTATGTCTAGTTACCAATCTGGTTATACCCATAACATGATACATTGGTGGCTATTTTGGTTTACTCTGGAAATTTCAACATCCAAAATACAGATTGAAGCATGTGTGTTATGCTCAGGCGAAAATTTTTTGTTTTAATAACTACCGGTATGTTACAAATATTGCACTTGAGACACTAAACATTTATATTCAAAATTGATAATGTTCCACCTGAAGACCATTAAATCTGGAGAGTAACTTTTTTACTTTCAAGGGTGGGTGGTCACTTCCCTCTCCTGTCACTCACCCAAATCAAGTCCCAGAAAGGCTACATGTAATTATCAATCTCTCAATTCATACTATTTTGAAGAGATATTACCGGTAAAAGCGTAGCTCCCCTAGTTGCATTGCCGTGTTCAGAAGAGCAATTTTTTGTTTTTTTGCCATTTTCAAAAGACAAAGCCTGGAGTACTATAACGCTACTTGTGGTAATAAAATATACCCCATAAGCGTAGCACAATGCCATGAGTCAGTTTACCCAAGTCATTCCTTTGGATGTTTGACCTAGTTTAAATCACACTTATTTTGAGTTCTATTCATTCAACATCATTTCCCGGACATCCCAGTACAAAGACAAGTCATAATGAGGACGTACATTGTGTATGCATGGGGATTTGTTTTTAGACCCCTGACTGGCAACCAATTTTTGACTCCCGTGTGCGAAGCACAAAAGGCAGTCTTTGCAGCTACCCTGTATGTATGTATGTATGTATGTCACTTTTTTTGTTCCACCGTTATCTCAAGAACCACTAATCAAATTTTGATGAAACTTGGTACATAGATGCTCTGTAATAATTCGCAGAATTGATTAGGTTTTGGTGAAAATCCATGAATATTAATTATTTAATTTGTATAAAAAATTAGCTGATTTTTAGCTGTTCCATGACTGTTCCACTGATATCTGAAGAACCACTCATTGGATTTTGATGAAACTTGGCACATGGATGCTCTGAACTAATACGCATATTTGATTAGTTTTGGGTAAAAATCCATGAATATTAATAACCTAATTTCCATGATAATTAACTGATTTTCAGCTGTTCCATGACTGTTCCACTTATATTTAAAGAACTACTCATTGGATTTTGATGAAACTTGGCACATGGATGCTCTGAACTAATGTGCAGATTTGATTAGTTTTGAGTAAAAATCGATTTATATTAATTACCTAATTTACATAATGATTAATCAATTTTCGGCTT